TTGTTTTGCTTCCTAGGGTTGATTAGCACTGTTCTAAAATCATATACGAAGAGCAGAAAGAACAGTCAAAGAGTGAAAAGTTGCTTCAGAGTATATTTGTGGATATCCTTTTAGGATGTTGGAAGGGGTGTTGATTGGTCAATGGCAATCTGATGTTGGATGATTCCTGCTCTACTTCTGGAAAGCATTTTCTTGTGTAAACAATTGAATTTTTCTTTTCCTTTTTGATACAAATGTTTTATAGAAAGATTTTATCCTGGTTTTCAGAATCAAATTTGGTTGGTGCTATGGTCAAAGCCAAAAATCTATTTGCACAGAATTTTTTGGTAACAAAATTGTTGTTCAGCTGTATAATAATGAATATCCATTTAAGGACAGTTGTATTACTTTGAGCAAGGCGTCTCTCTTCTGTTTGTGTTTAAGGAAATAGTCCCTGGTAATGGAAGTGCAAATGCACCCTCATGTTCTCCTGTTGATTACTCTGCGAGTCAAAATCTGTTTTGTTTCTAGTATCATGTGAATTATTAAATAAGACAATTCGAGCATCATGAAAACGGTGCTGCATTATGTGCAATTACATGAAATATGTCTAAATGAACTGAAGTTCGCTTCAGGTACAAGGATGCAATTAATTTGTTGAAGAAGTTGCTTTTTATTTTCACTTGTGATGGAAGAAGGGGGAACTGGACACTGAGATTGTCTATTGATTTGGAGCACATGGGCTTTCCCAATGAGAGCCTTTTAGTTGCTGAAGATGGGTTACTGGATCCATGGGTACGTGCTGGTTCAAGAATGGCATTGCAAAGGCGCGTTCTTCGCCTGGGAAAACCACCAAGGCGCTGGAAAGCTCCTAGTTTCTCATTGTTTATCAAGAGGAAGATCAGAGAGGTAACTGATTGGGTGATTCTTTCAGATTTGGGATGCTAGTGAACTTCTCGTTCAATGTGAATAACTCAAAATATGCCATCATCCAACAATGTTCTGTTTTACAAATTCCCACTGTTAATATAGGTTCATATTCAAGGAAGACCTTTGAACTGTGAAGCTGGAATAAAGAGCAGATTCTATGGAGAAGATGGGGCACAATGTGGAGTTGAGCAGCTTGCTTTACAGTATTATGCTGGTGAAGGTGGTGGATGGCAGGGTGTTCATACAGAGAGTGGAATTTGGTTAACAATTTTTGCGCTTCTTATGTGGGACATTATATTTTCTGATTTACCAAATGTCTTCCGCAACAGATTTCAGGTATGGCTTGTATTTAAGCTGTAAAACTCTCATCTTTTGGGTTTTGGCATGTTTTGCTGCAAAATATTGATGCTCAAAACTTCATGGTAGACAAATAGCCTATCATATGCATAAGTTATATTGTTGCTAACAGCTGCTGCCCCATCATCAGTCTATCAGAATCGTCTTATCATTATGGTATTGAAGATATTTTTAAAAAATTGTGGAAGAGAAGTTTAAAAATGGTAGTGGGCAGGTTTCCCTAGTCGGGGAAAAAGACAGTTCGAGTTTCCCTGCAGATTTCTTTTATTTTTAATCATTTAGTTTTATGTTCAAGATCTTCATTCTATAATGATTTATTTAAAATGAATTGCTAAAACAAAATAAAACCTTATGAGAACTTATGAATATTTGTTAAGTTTTGACTTCCATTTCCATCGCTGTTTTGAAAAATTTTGGATTTTTTTTATCTTCTAATTAATTTTTTTTTATGTTTTAGGATTATTTTGATGTATTGGTGTTAAAAAAAATAAAAAATAAAAAAAATAATATTGGTGTTAAAGAAAATTAAAAATAAAAAAATATAATTTAATGTATTTTCAAGTAAAAAACACTTTTTTGATGTATTTTCAAGTGAAAAACACTTTAAAAAATATTTACCACACTCCCAATCAGACACTAAGAGCTTCTTCTCTGCGAAACTCCCAATCAGACACTAAGAGCTTCTTCTCAGTCTATATGCTGCTCAATTCTTCATCTGTTTTTCCCTTTTGTTCTGTGTAGTTTGTTGCTTGACTCTCCTATTTCTACCTATTTCTATAGAATTTAAGAAAAAATATATATATTTTTATTTTATTTTGCAGACTGCTCCCTTGGATTTAGAGACTGATAACTTCTATCCAGCAAGAAAGAGCCTTATAGAATCCCAGTTGCAGAAAATTTATGATGGCATGGCGGAGATGATCCTCATCACATCATGGGAATTGCATTCAGGAACAGCTTGTAGGGGTGTTAATTGGGACCGGCATTCTCTCCCGGAACTTCGAGCCGCTGTTACCTGCGTTGGAGGCCCTTGTTTGGCCTCTCTCTGCCGACACCTTGCTCAAGATTATGGGAGCTGGTCCAGTGGAATGCCAGATTTGTTTCTGTGGCGCTTCCATGGAGAATACAAAGGTGAAGCCAAGCTTGTCGAAGTTAAAGGCCCCAGGGATTGCCTCTCTGAGCAGCAACGAGCATGGTTGCTGCTACTAATGGATTGTGGGTTCAACACTGAAGTATGTAAAGTAAGCATTATGCCATTATCCACGTGATGACAAGCTGGTGCTCGAAAGAGTGTTCAGACATGCAAGGATACTGGCAGAAGCTTACAGAAGCAAATTGATGGAGTATCATACAGATGGCTTCGCATACAATTATTGTCTGCTTCAACGCATAAAGTTTCCAAGGGAGGGCCTCAATTCGTCAGAATTTTTGTTAAAGACAGACAGAACCCTAGACCATGCTATTAAATTGCCGTTTAGGAAAGCAGCCCAAACACCACTTCACAAAAAAATGATTTTTTATATATTTTTTGAATTATTTTTATATGTTAATATCAATTTTTTTTATTTAAAAATAATTTTTTATATATTTTTGAATTATTTTTATATGTTAATATCAATACTTGCTACTATCGAGATGCTCATGATTGTTTGGTAGCAAAAAGGTGACATATATTTGACGTTACATAATGTACATGCTGATGTAATAATGATATTAGCTAGTAATGTGAACATAAGAGTCCAAGTGTACACGCTAGCTAAGGAGGATAGTGGTTAGGGTTTTTCTCTCATTATCTTTGCATCTCATGGGTTGTGGTTTTATTTTGTGGTGTTGAAGCCTTCGAGGAGATGCAAGAGCTAATTGAGTAAATAATTGAGTAAATGTGGTTTAAATTATATTTTATTTTAAAATATATTAAAATGATATTTTTTTTATTTTTAAAAAATTATTTTTAATATTAATATATGTGGTTTAAAACGACAACAGAGTCGTGCTTTAACTTTCAATTTTTTTAAATTAAGAAAGATTAAAATAATATTTTTTATAAAAAATTAATGAATTAAGTGACAAGTTTTGAATAGGATAAGGATCTGGGATTGAGTCAACCGAATATTTTTCGTTCTCTAATTTTTTTTAATCCAAATCAATTTAGACATGAGATCCCAAATCAATATGTTAAAACGGTCCAATGTTATAAGCGTGCTTCTAAATTTATATTATGAATTGAAACAATGAAATAACTATTTTGCCCTTGGCAGCAACGCGTAAATGGACTTGGCAGCGCGGGTATAATGTTATTCTTGTCGTTTAAGAACCAACAAAATGACTATTATAACCTTGGAGGCCAAAAAAATGCACTGGAGGGTGGGGTTAGTGTAATTACCATAAAACCCTTAGATGAGAATTGTCCCTCCTTGGGTCTAACTGTCTAAGGGATATATATATATATATATATATATATATATATATATATTTGTTAATATCAAGTTAACTCAAGCTTTTTTATATTTTAAAATTTTAAAAAAATTTTATTGCACGTGTCAGCAGGTAAGTGATGTGTGCAAGGTCATTTAGTCACTAAACACCGCCTTTTGCAATAATGTTTAAAAGGCCTCGTTGCCCTTCCACTATAAGATAACATGTGTACCACTTCTCTATTTCTTTCTCTCTCTATCTCAAATCCTATGCCCCTTCAAAAATTTTAGAACAACCTTTTTAGTTTTTTCCCCTAACATTTGGTCCTTTTCTTTTTTATTACTATTTCTAAATTATTTAGCATAAATAAAATATTATTTAAGCTGATGAAGCAAGCTGCACATGGTATTAACATAAATAGGCATGGATTGTCTTGTGATTTTTGGACGGTGCATTTTAATTTTAGTGATCAAACTCTATCTTCTAGAATAATATTTTAACTCTTCTCGTCTTGTCTTTATTCTTGAATGGCATGTGTTGACAAAAAAAATTATATTAAATTTTATATTGATAATTATTTTTTTCCTTTCTCCGTATTAAAGTTATTCTTAATATATTTTTAAAACAGTCATTTAATTTATTTTTTTAAGATTTTATTCTTTATTTATTTATTTTATTTTAAATTCTTCAAACAATAAGATTTTTCATCCTATTTAATTTTTTTTTGATTTTTTCAGCTTTTAAATTTAGTTCACATTTTTCTTCTTTTGGTTTTTCTAATTATTCTTTTAATTGAATTATCTTTTTGAATCTATCCTTTGATATTTTATTTTATTCTTTTAATTAGATAGTTTTTAATTACATTCCATAGTATTTTAATTCATTTTATTTTATATTATATTTGATTTTTATTTATTTTTTATTTTTTTATTTTTTTTTAATCTTTTTTGTTTCATCCCTCAATTGATCAAAGTTTTGTTAGCTTTTTGGGTTACAAATTTGAAATATTTGACAATGCTACCTTAAATATTTTTTTTTAAATTGATTTTTGATGATCTTTTTTTTATAAGATTATTTTAATTTATATATTAAATTATATATTTTCCATGTTAACCTAACTTTATTCAAGGTAATATTTTTTTTAAAAAAATTATTTATTATTATATTATTAAATTAATCAAAATTTAACATAATTATAAAATTTCTCTCATTGTCACAATTTTTTTTTCGGGTTAAAAAGAAAATGCTTGTGCTTGTGGCGCCGCTTGGGGCACCCATCTAAGTGTGTGGCTATATATATTATAAACCCTTTAAACAGAGTGACTCGACTGACTTAACCCTATATATCATCATCCCTTTGTTCAAAAAAAATTTAGTTTCCTCTCCTCTTTACAATCTGTGTGCGTAAGAGAATCCCTTCCCTTCTTCTTCTCCTTCTTCTTCCTGTGTTTTTTTTCTTTTAATTTTTCTCGAGTAATTTTGTAACAGTTAGTTAACTTATTTCCCATGAGTTTTGTTTTGTAATTTTAATTTATTTTTCTTCCTTTTTTTGGGTGCTAAATAGATTTTATTTTTGGTTAATCTTAATAATCTAGTACAGTAAATTAAACCTTGAAATTGTCAAATATTTTTTAGTTATTCCTTGAGTTGGATTTTTTTTTTAAAAAATATTCCATGAATATAACTAATATATACTATAATTATAAAGACAATTGGTAATTATTGTCTTGGAAGTTGATTTTTATTTTTATTTTTGGAACAGACAATATATAAATAGATAAATAGTATATGTCATACTACCAGCGGTTAGAAGAAATGAATTACATGGCGGAAGAGGCAGAAATGGTTGATTTCGTTGACGAAATGAATGGAGGAGCAGCCGCCGCCGCTGGTGGTGTAGAAGATGTTGAAGCTGATGAATATGAGTTGGTATTTATTCTCAATTTTGTTTCTTTGTTTTGTTTTTATAAAGTTTAGATGGAAAGGTTATAAAATTAATTTATTTTTTGGTAAATAATAATAATAATAATAATAATGACCAGATTACCAAGGTTACGGATACCTCATCTGGGCAAGCCAGAAACGGGCAGGACATACAGGGTATTCCCTGGGAAAGATTGAATATAAGCAGGGAAAATTACAGATCTACGAGGCTTGAGCAGTACAAGAATTATGAGAACATCCCCTTATCTGGCGAAGCTGTCGATAAGGTACTTAAATACTAATTTATATAGGTAATTGTTGATTTGCTTTCCGGGTTTAGGAATTTGTTATGATTCTTGTACTTGGTTGTTGTAGGAGTGCAAACAAATGGAGAAGGGTGGCAATTACTACGAGTTCTTTTATAATACTAGATCGGTTAAGCCCACCATTCTTCATTTTCAGGTTGGTGGATTTTGCAACTTCTGTGTTTGGATATCAGTTTATTTTATGTACTAGTTTATGTCAGCACCGTGTCGTTTGTGTTCATATGCTTCTCTTGACAACGTTAGGGAATAGGGAAAGAGCGCGTAAATATTGCTATTCGTATATTTAGTTTTAGGACTTCTATTCTTAAATGTTAAGGTGTTAGTTTGCAACCATATGTTTCCATGTTTATAAAGTGACTGTGTTGATTTGTTACTTTGGACTGCGTGTAGCAGCAAGTTTCTTTTCAAGCCAAATTGCGTGATAGCTGACTTCATTTACTTCTGCTAGTTATATCTCCCACATGACTCTTGATAGCCTTTTGTTGTGTTATGATTATGCAGCTCAGGAACTTGGTCTGGGCCACTTCGAAGCATGATGTATATCTTATGTCTAATTATTCAGTCATGCACTGGTCATCCATATCTGGCAATTTGTCTGAGGTCATCGATTTTGCAGGACATGTAGCCCCTTCTGAGGTATTATGTTTATTTCCATGTTGGCTTCACAGTTGATAACAAGTCTGTATGTCAAAGTATGATGTGAATGAGACCTCTTATCTTTCTGAGAAAAGGTCCTTGTCAGCCTGTATATATTTTACCATTCTGGTTCTTTCCCCCCCTATTAACTCATTTTTTTTAATACAGAAACATGCTGGAAGTTTGTTAGAAGGTTTCACCCAAACTCCAATCAGCACTATAGCAGTCAAAGATAATTTTCTTGTTGCTGGGGGCTTCCACGGAGAGCTTACATGCAAAGTGAGTTGATACCCCCCAACCCTCTCTTGAATGCACACACAAACAAGGTTATGCACATGTACATGGGTCATAAACATATCATCTCATCAAATTTTCTTCAATTTGCTCTAACTAAAAAAGTAGGACATTTAAGGTTAAACCTAGCATTATTAGCAGGTCGCTGTGCTCTTACTAGAATTTAGAAGTGTTAGGACATGCCATTCACCAATTTTCCACTTTGAAGTTGGAATCTTAAATATGAACAATTCAGAATGAACTTGGGTTTCTTTATGCTTAAGAATCCTTGACCTTTATGCTGAGTTAAGCTAACTTGCTTGTGATATAATCACCTCAATACACTTCAGGGTATGTGAAGTATGCTGTATGATTGAGCAACGCATTGTTCTACTCCTTTGTCTGCTCTTTAGCACCATTAGGATGTTGATGAAATTGTGAAAATACAATTTTCAGGAGCTTAAGTGAACTGTGATAAATTGCAGTTCTGCACTATATCAAGACTGCTCTGGTGGTGATTTCTTAATGAAAGATTGACTAGGAGTGACTTTCTGTTGTCCTTTGTCTGTCTTGTAATGCTGAATGGCTTCCATTTGATGCTTCATGCTTGCAACTGGCAGTTTGTCCATTTGATGAAGTGATGAAATTGTTGATGCTGTATTTATGTGCTCTGAGGTTTTGGAAAGATAACAGAAAATGTAATTTTTAGCTCTACTTTTTCTGGGTTTTAAATATCCTCTGCTCCTGCAAACAGGAAAAATAAAATAAGATGACAATCGAAATAATGAGAAGGCCAATATGCTGCTCAAACATCTTTTATGAAACTCTTTCTCTAAACAGCTATTTTATCTGATGCAGCGATTGGATAAACAAGGAGTTAGCTTTTGTACCCGCACTACATATGATGACAATGCCATCACGAATGCTATTGAGATATATGACAGCATGAGGTAGTAAGATTGTGCTGTATTTGCTCAGTGTCATAAATTGTTTTCAGGGATTACAGGTTGATATGGGAACTGCTTTTGCAGGGGTGGAATCCATTTCATGTCATCCAACAATGATGGTGGTCTTAGAGAATATGACTTGGAGACATTTCAACTTTTGAATCACTTTCGTTTCCCTTGGCCAGTGAATGTAAGTTATCCTTTTTACTTGTAGCAACGTACAAGAAGCCTAATATGCATTTTCTGGTTGATTTTGTTGTTTATTGGGGACAACTTTCTCTGTGACTGCCACATGAATACTCACAGTTAGAAGGAACATGCACAGGGGAACTGCTAGATGGGATCAACTTCATCAATTTCTTTTCATATACACAATAGGTGGAAGTGCAATAATTGTAGGACGACAGAGAAATTTAATAATCAAAATGCATTAGAATTCTTTGTGGAGTAGTTTATAGATGAATCAAACTGAATAGATTGCCTACGGATTCTCTATCCAAAACTATTTGGAAGAGCAATAGCTGAGCTAACACTAGCATGAAAAAATAGGAATCAACAATTGCTGCAAATTAATTCACAAATGAATTGACAAATCATGCCAAATCAGTGTTGGTTGATTTTGGCTCTGTCAGTTCATTTGAATTGTAATTTCAATTCATTTCATGCCAAGTACTTTCTGTTTCCAACATATTTATTGGGTTCAATGAATTCAAATTCAATTCATTTTGCCCAATTGTGAATTGTTCTAAGCTGGGTGTTAACAAGGCAAGTTTTTGAAGTGTCCCTTAAGGTCCTTGATCTAGTCGTCATCTGTTGTGAAACTTGATAACTGCTATGCCTATCTCAACTTCCAATTTGATGACTAAACTTGTTTTTTTATTTTACAGCACACATCAGTGAGCCCTGACCGGAGGCTAATAGCAGTTGTTGGAGATAACTTGGATGGATTGTTGGTGGATTCACAAAGTGGGAAGGTACAAGAAGTTTTCCATCTAAAGCTTTTGTTCTTATGGATGTTTGGGATAGTGGTAACGATAGTTTTTCAAAGTGCTTTTCACTTAGAAATGTATCGAAATGATTTTTTTTTTATTTAAAAAAAATTATTTTTGGTATCAACACATCAAAACAATCTAAAAACATGAAAGAAAAAAAAAATTTGAAGCAAAAAAAAAAATCAAAATTTCATGAAACTTTGGTTGTATCTCGCTGGTGATCTTTCATCTATTCTCAAGGGCTAACTAAAATTAGTGGTTGGCTACAACCCATCTGCTTTGGCACATGAATCTAACTCTTGAAATGCCCTTTCTTTTGAACGTCTTTCGATTCCCATTGACTTAGGCAAAGAGACCCTGCTCTATTGAATGAATCTGACTAATTCTTCTCCATCTTCTTCACTGTTATAACTAATTGAATCAACCCATGTAGTGGTATTAACTAAATTAGAAAGCGGCCAGAACATGACAGGATTGATTTTCCAAGTGCTGCTCACCTTTCGAAGAACTGATCATGATGTATTCTTGACATGAGACCAAACGAGCTCTTAATAATTGAAATTAGAACTGCCCGTGTTTCTATTTTTCCCGGGGAGGAACTGGTTGTTTTCATAAAACACTAAATGGAAAGCATTCAATACTCCACTTGCCCGTCAACTGTGTTATTTTTTATGTTATGTCCAGTTGGAAAATTATTTACAGAAGAGTATAACCTTGTTTGCCACTTGTCATCTTCCATGCTCATAATTCCTTGAATGTTGGAGGCAATTATCCCTGCCTTCAATGTGATACATTCAAGGGTCTTGCAGCGGTTTCTCTAGACTGGATCTTTGTAGTTGTTGGTTTATTGTTGCCATTCTTAAATCAGAATCATGTCAATGTTTTGCAGACTGTATCCACCGTGGAAGGTCACCTAGATTATTCTTTTGCATCAGCATGGCACCCAGATGGACGTGTTTTTGCCACAGGGAATCAGGATAAGACTTGCCGAGTGTGGGATATAAGAAAGTTGTCGTCGCCTACTGCTATCCTCAAGGGAAACTTGGGTGCGGTTCGATCAATTTGCTATTCATCAGATGGCCAATTCATGTATGTAGCCGAACCTGCAGATTTTGTGCATGTTTATAGTACACAGGATGATTACAGGAGACGGCAAGAGATTGATTTCTTTGGTGAGATTTCAGGAGTAGCTCTTAGCCCAGATGATGAATCTTTGTATATAGGAATCTGGGACCGTACTTATGCGAGCTTGCTACAGTATAACAGAAGGCATACGTATGGATATCTCGATTCCTACTTGTAATTTGTATCAAAGTATCTTCTTCTTCACTGAGCATCTGCCCAAGCTTGTACCCACCTTTTTGCACTCTTCTCGTTAGGTCTGATATGAAATCAAAGATGAGGATAAAATAAGATACTCTTGGTTAGAACTTTCTTTAGAGCATGTATAGTAACATTTTGATCATTTCATGTAATGAATGCTGTCTTCGTCAACTCCATTTTTCTTACTTCTGCACACGCTCCGTTTGCGCTTCTACCCCCAGCAAGACCATCTATTTCGTATTTCCTTCTGGATTTTGAATCAAAAGATGGAGTTTTTACACTATGATTTGCAATTCAAAGCAATCTGCAATATCCCCAAGCAGATCATTTTTTGGGGAAAAAACCCGCCGATCTTTTGTTGTTTCCCCCTTCAATTGTATTTGACAAGAGTTCAAATCATTCCTTTCATTGTTATAGCCTTTGTATGTCTTAAAGTTCAACGAATCTTTGACTTCTTTTTCTCTGACCTTTTCTGGTTTCCCTTTCACAAGCTGTCCTCATCTTTGTATACCCGGAAGATCACTCAACTTCCCATTGAAGCTTCTCCAAAGCCAATTAATCACCGAGAGACAGAGAAGGATTCATATGCACCACCACCACCACCACCACGACAGTGCTCTCCATGTTATCATCTATACTAAATTTTATTAGGGAAAGTCAACTAATCCCTTGAATCGCTCTAACAAATCATGTGATTTATCTCCATTAATTTTTTCATCCATTCATACATTATGAAAAGTCAATATGTTTCCAACAATGTAAGAATTCAATCCTAAAACAATTACAAGAAAATACATAAATTTTTATGCTGATGAATTGCTTAAGATTTAATAGAAATACCTTAGCCTTGACTTGAGATAAATTTTACTAGGATAACCTAGTGGTAAACGAAAAAAGAAAAAAAAACGTAATTAAATTGAATTATTTTTTTAACCTTTACCCTTATACGTTCTCATGCATATAAATATAAAAATAATAATTTAATTATTTTTATTTTTTATTGTTAAGTCATATAATTAAATCTTGATAAAAAAAATCATTTTATGCTGTGCTATTTAATTTGTATGTATTTTCAAAAATAAAATAATATTTTTTTCAAAATAAGTAGTTTATTTATTTTTAAATATAATTATTATTTTATTTAATCTATTTTGAAGTTATAAAATTAAATATTTTATTTATTTTAAAAAATAATTGATGTACTTTCCAGATAAAAAATCTCTTTAATTTGATCTCTTCCTAAATAATTTTATATATTTATTTATTTTCATAGAAATATTTATGAAAAATGTCCAAATACAAAAAGTGAAAGGATATTTTCAATTTTAAAAAACCGAGAATGGATAGCATGGAAAGAATGATTGGATAAATTTTGCCCAGCATAAGCTTGCAAGTGGGGCATGAACTTGGACCGGTCACGCTCTT